GTTTTAGTCCTTTTTAGACCTACTTTAGTCCTACTTTAGTCCTAGTTTAGTCCTGGAATGGATTAATCCTGGTTTTAGTCCTGGTGTTAGTTCTGGTTTAGTCCTGGTTTAGTCCTGGTTTAGTCCTGGTTTTAGTTCTGGTTTAGTCCTGGTTTAGTCCTGGTTTAGACCTGGTTTAGTCCTGGTTTAGTCCTGGACTGAATTAGTCCTGGTTTTAGTCTTGGTGTTAGTTCTGGTTTAGTCCTGGTTTAGTCCTGGTTTTAGTTCTGGTTTAGTCCTGGTTTAGACCTGGTTTAGTCCTGGTTTAGTCCTGGTTTTAGTCTTGGTGTTAGTTCTGGTTTAGTCCTGGTTTAGTCCTGGTTTTAGTTCTGGTTTAGTCCTGGTTTAGACCTGGTTTAGTCCTGGTTTAGTCCTGGTTTTAGTCTTGGTGTTAGTTCTGGTTTAGAGGTGCACAGGAGGAAGCTCGGTTTACGCCGCGTACACGAGAAAACACGATCCACACGCGGCTCACGGGAGCACGTCGGTGTCCACGCAGTAACTACGGAAGGAAACGTGGTCCGCGCGTTCTCAGGTTAATGACGATGATGAAGGTGTGTGTTTGTGTTTGTGTGTGTGTTTGTTTGTGTTTGTGTGTGTGTTTGTGTGTGTGTTTGTGTTTGTTTGTGTGTGTTTTTGTGTTTGTGTGTGTTTGTGTATAGGACAGTAGTGCAGACATCATGAGTCTATGCAGGTTGTTTTCACCAGTGACATTTAAGTTGTAGGCGATATTATATTTGTTATTTTCTTTTATATTTCACGTCGGGAGAATAATTTCCAAGACACGAATGTGTTTTTACCTGTGCACTGCTGCCTCTGTTCTACTGGCTCTTCGACCTCGTCCATTGTGCGACTGACGCCGTAAACGTCGCTCTTACTGCGCGTGTTTTGTGTGGGTTTGCCGAAATTAAAAAATGTATAAATGTGTTTTTTGTTTGTGCGTGTGTGTGTGTTGTTGTTGTTGTCCCAACAACACATAAAAACAAGTTTTATAATAAAGCAACTCACATACAGAAACACTAAAGTTAGAGATTAAAAATGAGATTAACGCGATTAAAAAACATAACGCGCTAAATATGACTGTAATTAATTAATCGCAATTAACGCGATAATTTGACACCCCTAATTTTAACCTGCGTGAAGTTGGCCCCAATCAAACGCAAACCTACACAAAAACTATGTCAATTGTTTGTGCTAAATTTGTGCTGCAGATAGTTTTGTTTGTGTTGCTTTAGTTTTTGAGACATTAATGATTCTTTTATAGGTCAAATTGGATTCAACCAGCCCCGAAGAAGCTTAAAAATGCTCTAAAACGACCCAAAACGGTGTCAGTTGTTTGTGCTGCAAAAAAGTTTCGTTTGTGTGATTATGGTTCTTATGATCTTAGCATTAGTTTTAATTTCAGCCGATGACGTCATCCAGCCCCTCAAAATGTTAAACAGCCTCAAAACAAGCAAAAAATGATATGAAATGTTTGTATTTCATTTGTGCTGTGAGAATTTTCATTTGTGCAGGGGTGTCAAACTCAAATTCACAGAGGGCCGAAATTAAAAACTGGGACTAAATCGTGGGCCAAACTAAATATTTATTTTAAAAAGTCAAAAACATCTGCAGGTTTTCTCTTCTTTCGAGACATGTAATGTTAAACCCTTTCTTATTAACACTGAATCCAGAACAAGCATAATAATAAAATAATAACAACATTTTATCTCTGTAGGCAGTGAGTCAGCTCTAATACATGTTTGATATAATCTCGCGGGCCAAATATAATTATATCGCAGGCCAAATTTGGTTTAGTTTGGTTAGTGTAACATGTCTGTGCTAGTATATTTTGAAAATTATGAATTATTATTTTGCAGAAATTGACAACGTTTTTTGTTGTTTTGTGTTTGTTGTGGGTGTTGCTTTATGTTTTTGTGTTTTGTTTTATGTTGAATATTGTAATTTGTTGTTGATTGTTGTTGTTTTTTGTTTGTTTGTTTTAAAATGTTATATTCAGAAAAAATTTAAAAAATATATATATGACGTCATTTCCGATTTCGATGCCGAACTTTTGCGCTGCATACGGACTGAAGCAGGACTGATCCAGGTCCGGGACCAGACCGGGACCAGACCAAGACTAGACCGAGACTGAGATCAGAACTGAAACCGGGACCAGAGCAGGACTGAGACCGAGATCAGGCCGGGACCAGACCGGAGGCTCAGAGCACACGACAGGGCCAGAGCACGAAGCTGAGACTCGGACCCCGCGGAGGCTTGGAGTCAAAGCTCGGAGTCCGCTCTGGTCCTGCTCTGGTCACGCTCTGGTCCCGGTCTGGTCCCGGACCTGGATCAGTCCTGGTTCAGTCCGTAAACAGTTGTTTTTTCGTTTTCTTAATTTTGTTTTTATAATGAAAAACGAATGAACGAATGATACACGGATTTGCCACTTCTAGACACGACTGAACAACTGAGTCACTGCGAACACGCCGACAATCCGTTGGTCCCAGACAGCACCCTCCCTACACGCCACAACTGAACGAAGCCCAGAGTCACCGTGAACACAAACAAACAAACCACTCACCCATCCAACTGTTGTGTTTCGTTTAAAGTCCGGTGCGGTTTATTTGTGAAAAAAGTTCAAAAATAGACAATTTAGTGACACCTTATAAGACAGAGAGCCCTATAGTGTGGAAAATACGGTAACTTTTGATTGGTTTTGATTCATATTTTATATAATAATACAGACTTCTGCACTTTTGCATCGACAATACAGACTATGAACGAACTGTTACTATCTCAAAAACTAAAACAGCACAAATGGAGAACAAACAATTGACATAGTTTTTGTGTAGGTGTGCGTTTGGTGCGTGGCAAACTTCACCGAGGTTATATTATACTTTCTCCATCAGCCTCTCCTGGTTCGAGATTGACACTTGCTCACGCTCTGTGGCTAATTGCACATTCCTAGATTAAGTCATGTATCCAGGCACTTAACTCTGGGAACACATCATGCCAGCGTTTTTGACTTGTTTGCCTGTTGGAGCGCTCTCTCTCGTCGTCTGAATAGCTAACAGATATTTGGCGCTGTGTTGGCAGGACTCTGATGTGAGCTGAACTGGACGCGGGAAAACTCGGAACAATTGTTTTTCACTTATTTGCAGATGTGGTTGTGGAGGGACGGCTCAGGAACAATTAGCTGTGATGGCGGATATGGCAGTGACGATGTGTTGTTTTTGCCTTCAGAACAGTGGGTGGCTGTGGGAGGAAGAGTATCTGGTCTAAACGTTTTCCAAAGCGCGATCCAACTGTGTCACCGCACTCATCGCCGACATTGAGTTTTCAAATGGGGGAAATATATACATCGAAAACAGTCTGAAAGCTTCCAGAATCAACAGAATCTAATTTAAATTTGGAGGGGTCATTTAAAAAAGCTCCACCTATTTTTTTCATTTTGGATGTTTTTATTAGACATCGAACTAAATGTGATTTTTCATGGCTGATGCCGTTTGTTTACAATCCAGAGAAACCAATGTTCTGCTGATATTTCTGGGACAAATGTAGCGATGATTTTGATTGATAGTTTTTCCCCCAAACCGGTGAGAGCTGTGTAGTCACATTTTGTGCGGTTATTTCTTCACACTGAAGTGTCCAAAAAAAACTTTGGGTACTACGGATATTTTTAAGCAGCGCATTGGCCATCATTTCTGTGCTAAAGATTAAAGATTGATAGCTGATAGTAAAAAGTGCAAATACTGGCCCCATATATCTTTCAACTGCTCTCTAGTTTTTATTGCACTGAAAGTCGTCCTTACACTGAGTGAGCTTGCATATCTACAAACCTGACTCTTATTTGGCCTGAAAGAGGGATAATACCTGCTTGTCTTCATGGAAATATTGATCCTTTGGCTATAATATTCCTCGGTATGGCATAAAACTTGTACAATAGGATCGATCCCCTGTGGGGCCAAAAAGAGACTCTTAATCTCAGTGGCACTATGTCGGTTAAATAAAGGTCAACTTAACTTTCAATTTTCATGGAATCATGCAGGTGATGTGCTAGCCAGGCTGGCGCCACCTTGTGCCTCTAATTGTGCTCAGTGTCATTTTTCTACAGTGACTAGGTCAGGAATCACAATACTCTAGACGGTTGGCAAGGAGCCTGGAAGTTGACCGCGCACCATCCAATCAGCGAAGAGCTGTGAATCTGGCAATTATTTGGGACACCACTGAGCGTACATATATCACGACCAAATAGCAGCGATTGGTTAAATACAAAGAGTACCCGCCTACCGTCGAGTGAACGAATCCTAATGTTGCGGGGTCAGATGGTGCTACGAAGTGAAACCGGCTGATGAATCTGGCTAGTGATGGTGCCACCTCCAGAATGTTATGTAATGGTGACTGAAATATGGTCAAAGATTGTGAATTTCAGTTTTTCATATATATGCTCTGCTTGTGTACAAGTCTCTCCATGACCAAGCACCAAAGTACATGTCTGACATGTTAGTGTCATATGAACCATCTCGCACTCTGAGGACCTCAAGGACCGACCTCCTGCTCGTGCACAGAGTCAGGACTAAACACGGGGAGTCAGAGTTTCAGATTCATGCAGCTAAAACCTGGAACAGTCTTCCTGAACATGTGAGACAGACTCGACTTTGACACCGGTTAAATTCAGGCTCAAAACAGTTCTGTTCAGTTGCGCATATGACTGAAAGATTTTCATTTCCTCTCTTCTCTTTAATTTAATGTCTCTCTCTCTCTCTTTTTAATTTTACGATTATTTATGTTTTGATTAGTTTTTATTGTGATTTTAATTGATGTGTTTCTTATTCTGTAAAAGCATTTTGAATTACTTTTGTATACAAATTGTGCTGTACAAATAAACTTGCCTTGCCTTTATGAAAATTTGCAATAAATAATTCATGTTGTTGTTTTACTGCAAACCTTCCTCTCTAACATTTCTATCTTGTCTTCCACAGCTGTCCAAGTCCACGTCCTGAAGGGAGACAAGGCGGGCGAGTGGTGGAAGTTCACCGTCAACATCATCTCCGTGTACAAACAGGGCGAGCACCGCATCCGGCGCGGGGACCAGCTCCTGTGGGTGAGGGCCAAGGACGTCGCCTGCAAGTGCCCGAAGATCAAACCCGGCCGCAAGTACCTCCTCCTGGGCACGGACGACGACTCCCCCGGTCAGAGCGGGGTGGTGGCGGACAAGGGCAGCCTCCTCATTCCCTGGAAGGACCTGTGGGGGCGCCGTCTGAGGAAGTTCCAGCAGCGCGATAAGAGGGGCAAGTGCTAGAGTTAGAGGAAGAGAAAAAGAACTGGAACTAAAAAAAGATGGGTGGAAGAAGGAGGAACTTAGAGGTATAGACTGAAGAAGAGACTGCTGCTGCTCGGAAGTACCTGGCGTTGGTAGGAACTTTGGTGGAAGGAGTTCGCTCGACAGCTGGTCCGTTTGTGTTGTTTTGTAATTGCAGAGTTTGCACCGAATGTTACAGTTAGGGGTGGGCAATATGGCGGAAAAAAAAAGTACCACTTTATAATAACTGAACTTAATAAAGCATGAACAAAGACTTAATCCATAATGAAGAAATAGTTTTATTAGTCACTACTAGGTAAGAGGTTAGGGTTAGAAATTGGGGTATTAATCAAGTATAGCCAGAGTTATTAATGAACTACTTGCTCATAATGAGTTGAAGTTGAACTTTGTAACATTTCTGGCAATGTCTCCATTGAGGCATTTTTGCTTTGCCCAGAATTTTCCACAATGGCATTAAACTGGAGGAGTTCAAGTATCTTGGGGTCTTGAGGATGGAGCGTGAGACTGACAGGTGGATCGGTGCAGCGTCGGCAGTGATGTGGTTGCTGTATCGGACCATTGTGGTGAAGAGGGAGTTGAGCCGAAAGGCAAAGCTCTCGAGTTACCATCAATCTACATTCCTCCCCTCACTTATGGTCATGAGCTCTGGGTAACGACAGAAAGGATGAGATCGCGGATACAAGCGACCAAAATGAGTTTCCTCTGCAGGGTGGCTGGGCGCTCCCTTAGAGATAAGGTGAGGAGCTCAGTCACACGGGAGGAGCTCAGAGTAGAGCCGCTGCTCCTCCAGATCGAGAGGAGCAGCTGAGGTGGCTCTGGCATCTGTTCTAGATGCCTTTTGGGTCCCTCTCTTAGGCGGAGGTTCTGGGCATGGGCCCAGAAGGAGGCCCCAGGGAAGACCCAGGACACGCTGGAGGGACTATGTCTCTCAGCTGGCCTGGGAACACCTTGGAGTCGCCCCGGAGGAGCTGGAGGAAGTGTCAGGGGTGAAGGAAGTCTGAGAGTCCCTGCTTAGACTGCCCCCCATGACCCGGCCCTAGATAAGCAGAAGAAAATGGATGGATGGCATTAAACTCGAGACAAACAGGTAGCACCACCAGGCCAAGCTACAGGTCAGATCTGTGGAGAGGCAATACCACCCACATTAAAAATGCATGTGTTTCAATGTATTTTTGATTGAAAAAAATACAATGTATTAAATACTAAATAAGTTTAATGCTATATTGTGGAACTTGTAAGGCAAAGCAGCATCTCCCTGGAGACAAGCAAGTGGCGGCCTCCCATCCGAAAAGTTACAGAGTACCTTTTAGTCTTTGTTTGTGCTTTAATAAGACTCATTCAAATGTAGTTATTATGAAGTGTTACCAAAATATTACATGGCATTCTCAGTGTGGTCATGAGTTAAAATGCTCAATAAAAAAAATAAAATAAAAATCACAGTTCACTCTGATTGGGTGGATGCTCCTATCAGTCACTCTGAAAATGAGGGAACCTGACCACGAGGAGGTGTGGGCAGGGAAATGCAGGTAAAGATAGATGTTCAATGTTCAATACAAGGATAGATCATAATATCGTCATACTGCCCGCCCCTAGTTACAGATTTGCCACATTTGTCTATTGTATGCCATCCTGGGAAGTCCTGGTGATTTTATGGGACATTACATCTACTGTACTGACTTTGGTTTTGCAGTTGCATGGAATTCTCATATCGTACTCTAACAATGTATTTGTATGGTTTGGTAATGTTAGTGTTAAATGTTTGATGACTCCGAAACCTCAAGAACCACTGGTGTCTTACAAAGTGCCGTACATGCTCCCATAGTAAACTGTGTCCCATTCATCAGAAAAAACCTGTGCTTTGGATGTTTCAGAAGAAGGCAACAAACTAAACTTTTCCTTCAGTGCCATTAATAAGGAACATATTTGTATAAATACAGTGAATAGTCAGATATGAGTTTAACTTAAAAAGCCACTGTTCTGTCTGGCTTCAAAACAAAAGTTTCTGCTTCTACAACACGACCACTAAGTACAAATAAATTCAGGCCATGGCATCTAAAGGCGTTTGATGTAAACTACATATAAATGAGGACAGCTGCTTCAGCCTAATACAGAATAGGCGAGTTTCAGCTGACGTCATTGTTATTAAAAGCCCGCGTTGCATGCTGGGAAATATTTTGGTCGGAGGCAAGAAACACGATAGCGGTCAAACACAGTGGGTAACCTCGCGTATTTATCCCCGATAATGGTAAATTCCTGCTGCATTATCGGATGCACAAATAGAAGCACGGAAGAAGGAAAATGTCTTTTTCGTATTCTGAGTGAAAAGAACCGCTAACGGCGAATTAAATGGCTTTCAAACATTCGCAGAGCAAACGTAGAAGATCCTAACAAACCGTGGACTCCAACAAGTTCAACAACACTTCGAGACTCTTGGGAGGTTTTCATCTTTTCTGCTGTGAATGGCCCAGGAGTTTCCACCAAGTCATTGTGGATATCGCCCAAGTGAATATTTGTCCAGGTAGTTGGCGATTCTGACCAGAAATTTGGTTTGGTTCCACCTTTTGTCGGGGTTGAAAAGGGTGATTTGGCGTTCATCGATGCTTATGACCAATTTCTGGTCAAATGGTCTTGGGTCCTCTGCCGTTAGAGTGGATAAATAACCGGGATCAATACCCTTTACGTGCTTTCTCGCTCCGTCCGTCATGTTGAATTAGTGCTTATTGCCGCCGACCAAAATAATTCCCAGCATGCAACGCGCGCTTTTGTCAACAATGAAACTATATGGGACACTTAAACACTTTATCGTGAGCTGTGTGCTGTCACGGTGACCTCTGCCCTGTAAATGTGTGCATACAGTGTTAAAGTAGATGACGCCGTAGAGGTGCTAAACGTAGATTAGACACGTCAACCATGCACTTATTTTGACTCGTTTGTGAACATATGAGATGCGTTCACAAATATACAAACGTGTACACAAATACATGGCATATAAAGTACTTGGATTCTACTCTGTTGAAGGTAAAGCTCCAGTAAAATGTATGCATTCTACGTTTATTTTTCTCCGAGGACCTGTTTGTATAACTCAAGCTCAGCTCATGTTGAAACCACATCTACATAAAACAAAGGACTTCTCCTGTCGTAACGCGTGACGTGCTGGGCTTCACGTTTTGATCGTTTAACGTGATCATTTGAGAATCTGCGTTCTCGTCATGATCACACGAACCACTGCCACATGCCTGCGGACTGTAGCGCACTGATGCTAACACTTATGTGCATATTAATGTACAGATGTATGAATAACCTGTGGAGTGACCATGGCCCGTCACATATGTTTATTGTTGATCCTTTTTAGGACTGGAAAACCTGTGGACTGGTACTGGACACAAAAGGGCGGCACATTTCCTCCATGTTAGCTGTATTTACCCAATAACTCTGTATGTCTCAATAATTCCAGAGGTTTATTAAAAGGGAATAACCACAGACAAATGTAAATGTCACTCACTCACCTTCTCCACAGACCAGAGACCTCATGTTGGACCAGTTCAAACTCTCGGGCTTATCGCTGTGAATAGGTCAGCTTGTAAATGTTGTTTAGTAGAGTCCGTTGCAAATGTCTTGTAATACTAATATATGATGTTTATCTCAAATGAATATATTTAATGACACGTGAAATGTTGTGGCTTTTGTGGTTTTTACGTTTCTTTTGTTTTTTTTTTTACTTGGGTTGTATTTGCGTTGATCTGTAGATAATAAAAGTATGAACCGTTTGTACCCCGTTTGGCTCCTAAGTGACCAGCTAGAAGTGAATATTAATTCTATCTGAAAATAAAGATGTGTTCAAAAAAACGTCATCCAGGTTTCATTTTTTGTTGATCTTCTTCCCGTCACACACAGATTTTCGTGTAGATATACTGTAAGTAGGTAAAGTGTCTTGCCCTATGACACAACAACAGTATGCACACTCTGAAAATTGAGGTTTAAAGCGAATTTTGTTGCTAAAATGATGCTGTAAACTGAAATAATTTACACAAAATAACTTTTTAGTCTTAACTGCAAATTCAATCTTATGCGTTAATAAAAGTTAGGAGTAACACTGACACAAATATCTACATTTTTAAAAGCAAAAGTGTCCTCCTATGAATGGCAAAGAGAAATTCAGTTTGTCGACTGGACAAAAGTCTGCAGGGAAGAGCTAACTAACTCCTAACTAACTACTCTGAAACTAACACACCTACTTGTGTACAGTTGTGTTAGTTAGTTAGGCCTAGTGAGTGTGGGGTCTTGACGGTGAACTTCCACCACTCACCCGCCTTGTCTCCCTTCAGGCCGTGGACTTGGATGGCTGTGGAAGACAAGATAGCAACGTTAGAGAGTTTGCAGTAAAACAAAAAACAAATTATTTATTGTAAATTTTCAGAAGGCCAGGCAAAGAAAGTTTATTTGTATAGCACATTTCGTACAAAAAGTAATTCACCGTGCTTTACAGAATAAGAAATACATTCAAATCACAATAAAAACATATCAAAACTTAAATAATCATCATAAAATGAAAAAGAGACGTCAAATGAGAGAGAAGAGGGTGGAATTAAAAAAAAAAACTTTCAGTCATATTCAGTTAAACATAAATGTTTTGAGCCAGGATTTAAACAGTCAAAGTACAGGTCTGTCTCACATCTTCAGGAAGACTGTTCCAGGTTTTAGTGAACCTGAAACTCTGACTCCCCGTGTTTAGTCGTGACTCTGGGCACCAGCAGGAGGCCGGTCCTTGAGCTCCTCAGAGTGTGAGATGGTTCATATGATAAGGTGACCAAACGTCAGTTTTCCCCGGACATGTCCTTTTTGCGTCCTGTCCTTGAAGTCCGTTTTTTTTTTTTTTTAAGTGATGGAAATGTCTGAGTTTTCATTACCTTTCATTGGTGCTATTAAACTGACTGGCTCTCGTAGCTCTCTGCACTCAGAAGGAGCGAGACACAAACAGT